TATAATATAATATAATATAATATAATATAATATAATATAATATAATACAATATAATACACTAAACTGTGTTTGAGTTGTACAGGAGTAAGGAGGCCTGATAAGACAACTACAACCAGTTGGATACTGGAGAAATTCATTATTAAAAGTAAAACAATCTTACAAAAGTGCTGGGGAAGTAACTTTTTTATAGAGCTATAAACGAATAAAGCAATTTGAATTCAAAATAATAATTTCCCTCTGGGATATTTAAAGTATTTCTGATTCTGATCCACTTGATAAACACTAAGAATACAAAAAATATTGTTCTTAAAGCTCGCTTCTGAAGTGGAAAAACAGGTCCGGTACATCTCCAGAATATTACCTGAAACACTCGCTTATCCGATGTTTATTAAATGTTTCCAGGGTGAACGGGGGGGGGCGTCCAGCTGTATGGCCCCGCCCCCTTTGGGCTTTTTCCGGGGTTGTTTTTATGTCCCAAGGCCTCTCCGGAGAACAAAGAGGGATCAAACACAGCACATGGCTTTGATAGAAACCTCACGATCTGAAGCCTATCTCCAATGGAGGAGGGAAAAAACCCAGAGCTGAAGGACTCACATTTGGGGTCCAGGCTTTGTCCAAAATTCACAAAAAACTGTGTTTTATTCGTTTCAGCGTTGTTTAACCCTTTAAAGCCTGATCCAAGCATAAAACAAAACAGAAAATTACTTTGTCCATTAACCCTATAATGCCAAATGTGTCATATCTGATCCGGTTTCTGAAGTCTTTTGGATGTGAGACTTTTTGCATCATTCAGTGGTAAAAGCTTTGCTCAAACCCCTGTTGAACACATTCAGATATACCTGATAACAGCCAGTAGAAGACTACACCAACATACATTTTTGACTTATTGCACGTGCAAAGATGTCCTCCGTCTGCACAGGACTCTGAATTACTTATAAATCTTTCATACTATTTTCTTCTGTAGAATAGCATGTTAACAGGGATTTTAATCCCCTCTTATTCAGATGTGAAATTACTTGGAAGTGCAGATACTGAAAGGTCTAAAAACAATGTATAAATATATTCTTTGTCATGGCAAAATTTAACTGTTAAAAGTGTGGAATCAGTTTCTAATGGTCAACGATTTAATTCTGACCACCAACCCCTGGTCACTGTCTTTTTGAAAAGCTGCCTTTGCTCTACATGAGATACATTTATTAGTTATCAGTCTGTTTGTTTCTTAGGCACTCGCTTGATCAAAATAATTTCTGTTTTTTTTCTTCATTTGTTGTTGAGGGGCCAAAGAAAGACTTCAGACAAAAAAAATCCAATATTCTTCCTATTTTTCTTGGATCCGGCTTTAAAGGGTTAAGTTAAGTAGTTGCCCTTCCAGTTATGTTGGTCATTCATTCTAGAAATCCTAAGAATTGAATCCAAGTAATAGTAAAAATGGGAGGATAACTGTACAGTCACGTGAATGAAAAATAATTCTTTGCTTCAAATCTAGTGTTTGATATATGAACAAAAGTAACTCGAGTGAAACATGTCAGAAATAGTTTGAAAACGAATGTTAGGAAAGTTTTCACATCCAACTTTACACCCCACGTAAGTTTGTGTAGATTATTGAAAGTGACCTTTTCCATTCTGACAAACTACTGCAATTTTACCAAATTTTTTTACCATTTTTCTACCACTTTTCTACCACTTTTCTACCATTTTTACCACTTTACTACCACTTTTCTACCATTTTTCTACCACTTTACTTATTTAACCAAGCAAAACAAAAGGAACTTACATCATTTTAAAATTAAACTAATGTATTTTTTCCATAGAGGGGGCAAAGTTTTTTCCATTTTCATGTATAGACAATTTTACCAAACTGATCTTGGCTCTTCTGAATAATATAATATAGTTTAGTTTAGTTTTGTGAGAACGCCAGCTGCGAGGGGAGTGTGGGATGTGCCTGAGATGTGGACGAGTGGCAGAGAAAAGGGTTATCGCAGC